GGAGGGCGAGCGGCTGCACCGCCCGGGGCAGGATGGGGACCGCGCAGTCCCCCGCCCAGTGACACGCAAGCCCCGCTGGGGCCGAGGTTCGTCTCCCCCACCGGCTTAACGAGCCCTTGGAGGCTGCGGATTTGTGACGGAGGCAGAGGCAAGATTTCCACTCCTTTGGTAGCGTCAGGGTTAACTTGGGAGGGCTGGATCCCCCCAGCCACCCTCACGCTTCTCTATTCTCTGTGATCGTACGTTCCAGGAGGTCTGGGAGACGTCAGATGGGGAGGTTCGAGAACCCCAACCCCTAAATCTTTGCCCCGGCTCCACTCTGAGTGCCGTGACCCTGCCCAGGCAGGCTGAGCCCCGGGCGTGTCCTACCGGGGAGAGAAGTGGGAAAGCAGGAACGAAGTTAGCAGAAGGGAAAAAGGATCTTTTAAGGAAAAAGCCCGGGCCGTTTCCCTGCAGGACAGACCATCTCCCCCAGGCGGGTGTTGGGCTTCTCCTGGAGGCAGGGGCGTCGGTCCTGGCCGTACCTCTGGACAGTGCCCTTCCACGACCCTGTCCACCACCCGCTCTCGCTCAGCCACTCGCCTTTGCCCGGCTTCCTCTCAGAAACCGAGGCCCGTTTTCTGTTAGCGAAAGTTGTGATTAATGCTGTCACCTTTTGTTTGTTTGTTTTTTGTACCGGGGATGGAACTCGGGTCCTTGCGCTTGCAAGGCAGGCCGCCGAACCGCTGGGCTAAATTCCCGGCCCTGTTTGTTTGTTTTTTGAAACAGAGTCTCACTGTGTAGTTGAGACTGATCTGGAACTCGCTATGTAGCCCAGGCTGGCCTCGAACTCAGAGCGATCCTCCTGCCTCAGCCTCCCGAGTGCTGGGATTACAGGTTGCGCCACCACGCCCGGCGTTTGCTGTCATCTTCACAAAGCAAACTCATATCCCAGCCCGAGGGTCCCACCTGTGACCAGTTCTCCCAGCAATGACTGCTCCCTTTAAACACCAAGAAGGAAATGAACTCCGTTCTAATTAGGTGAGTTTGCTACAGACACCAATTTTCATCTCGCTCTCAGAAAGTGTGATGGTTTCAACTATTTTGGTTTCTCACCACCCTCCCCCCAATCCCTACTCTACTAACAAGTCAAGATCCTGCCAAGATTTCCTTGTAAATAAAACTGTCTGTATGGGGTGTGATTTCGAAAACAGCCTTCAGGGGGACAGGAGAGAGGCTGACTCCTTTGTGGAAAGAAGCCCAGTAGGATAAGCAGCTGCTGGGGCTCTGAGTTCTCTGGTGGGGGGACCCTGAGGTCATTGTCACTGCATGGTCCACCCAGCGCTGTCATTTTGTGCGACCTGCTTGGGCACTGGCTCTGTTCTACGCAGACCTTCGGGAAATGGCAGGAAGGAGCCAGGAATCTGGGTTCCGGGGGAACTTGGAGAAGCTGGCACAGGGAGGAGTTGGCCAGTCTGCCCCGAAGCCTGGCAGCCCTGCAGTGTCCCCACCCCAGCTGCCCCTTGCATCCTTCCTTCTCCAGCTCCGAGACTGACTGCCCTATCGTCCTAAGCAGCTCTGCCCTCCTCTCTGGTGGAAGGGACCTTAGTGGCCTTTATTAAACTTGTGAGCATTTACTGAGCTCTGCTCCTGCTTTGGGAATGCTGAGATGGACGGACCCTGCCTACAGAAACTGTTTAATTGGGGGCAACAGGCTGGATCAACACAAGGATATATCCTGGATTCCAGGGAAGCCAAAGGAGGGGGTCCGTGTGGATCACCAAAGTCTCCCCAAAGCCCCCCACCCCGTCCCCCTGCAAATAACTAGGTAACTTGTTTCTTTGTTTTTTGGGTACTGGGGATTGAACTTGGGTCCTTGAGCTTGCGAGGCAGGTAGCAGAATCACTGAGCTAAATCCCAGCCCTAACTAGGCAACTTGGGAAGGTGAAGGAGAAGCATTCTAGGCAGAGAGAACAGCATGGACAAAGGCTGGGCGTGTGCAGCAGTGTGATCTGGAAGGGGAACACTTTGGCATGGCCGGAAAATAGAGCAAGGTATCCCATGGAAAGCGCCCAGCCTGGGAGGCAGGGTTAGGAAAGAACGTGAGTTTATGAAGAGATTGGACTTGATCCTAAGAGCAATGGGGAGCCACTAAAGATTGTGAGCAGGAGACGCACATTTAAAAAGATCTCTCTAAATTGGGCACAGTGGCGTACACCTGTAATCCCAGCATTCTGGGAGGCTGAAGCAAGAGGATTGCAAGTTCCAGCCTAGCCTGGGGAATTTAGTGACTTGGAGAGGCCTTGTCTCAAAATAAAAGATAAATTTAAAAAAGGGCCAGGATGCAGCTCAGTGTAATGGCCTTAGGTGATTTAACCCTCACTATTGAAAACAAAACGAAAAGATCCTTTTAGACATTTGTGGTGGCTCATGCCTGTAGTCCTACCTTCCCTGAAGATTTAGGCAGGAGGAATCCCTTGAGTGCAAAAGGGAAACGGTCATGGTTTCCCCTCACCTTCACTCACCAGCTGCCATGGGCCAAGCACGCACGGATGCCTCAGCACGTGCCGCACCACGGGCCTGCCCTGCAGCTTGGTGACAAGTGGCAGCAAGCAGTGATTGGCATTTGTGTCCTGCTCTTCATTTTGGCAGCACTCCACACCCATGACTTTTTAAAAAGTCCTCAATGAGACTCTCTAAACCCATGAAGAACAGGATAAGGGGCTAGGTGTGTTAGTCAGTTTCCCAACGCTGTAACAGAATGCCTGAGGTTTAAATCACCTTATAAAGAGAGAAGGTGTATTTTGGCTCACAGTTCCAGATGTTGTCATTCATGATCCCTTGGCTCCATTGCTTTTGGGCCAGTTGGCTGGCGACACCACATGGCAGGCATGTGCAGTGGAACAAAACACTTCATGGCCAGGAAGCAAGAGAGGAAAAGGAAGAATGAGATTCCACAGTACCCTTTGGGAGCACAATCCCACTGACCCAAAAGCCTTCTACCACCCTGGGACCACGTCTGTTTAACACGAGGTTCTCTGGGCAACAACAGCCCCACACTGTAGTCTTGGGGAAGAGCAGCTCAAACTCCAAGAGGTCCTAGTGCGCTGTCAAGAGGAACCTTGGAAGGAGGGGACCCTCTGGGGTGAAGAGTGTGGAAGGGTTTCTGAGTAGAGGAACTGCCATGGCAAAGAGGACAGCTGTTGGTTGTGTTGGAAACCATTAAGGGGCCGAGCGCAAAGTGAGGATGGTGTGGTGGGTGGCGAGGACCACGTGGAGAAGTCCTGGAGTGTCAGCGTCGCCCAGTGGGCAGTAGAAAAATGGTGGCACCCTCTAACTGGGGCAGCATTTTAGGAAG